AATTATGTAAAAAAAACTAACGAAGACATTTATAAAAGCGGAATAATTTTTGAGTTGATCCTCATTTTATTATTTTTCACCAGTAGATAAACTTTAAAATACTATCGCAAATTACATTTTAACATTTCAAATTCCTAATTCAGTTGTATTAATGTTTATCTTATAAATCCAAGTTACTCGCTAGAATCAATAGTTGTCTTTTATTTCTCAAACTACATCTCGTTTCTTTATTAAAATATATCAAGCATGTGCAAAAATGAGAAACAAAAAATAAAACTATTAATTCCAGCTTTTTTAATAATAATTTCAAAAAAGATTGATTGACTTCGAGTTCATTTTTTACATGCACTTTTGTACTGTTCAATCAGATTATCCTTAAAATAAAACTTGAATGGCACGCGGTGTGCCTCGACTATACATATATTAAAAAGGCAAAAGGTATTGTATTTGTTAATTTAAATATTACTGAACCTCAGACTTATTTACAATACAATATGTACAGACGAAAAATGTGCAAATTTAGCTCTGCTGTTTGACGATGCTATTTTTAATGATCAGCGTTTCTAATTACAATAACAAAATTGTTATGTAACGCTTTTTTTATTTTTCAAGTTTTTTTCAGTTCATCTTAACTCATGCATGTAATCGAATTTCAGATGCACCAAAGAATTCAAAGCATGGAACACGACGTTACTCATGAATAATGTTTAAGTGGTTGATTAGACATTTTCTTTATTTATATTTTTATATTTCCATACAAAAGATTACGACATTGGCATAAGTTTGCATCGCAGAGCTGAAACTCAAAGTTTATATTTCATATATGCATGTATGTATATATGTGTGTATACATTACATTTATTTACCTTTAAAAGTTTAGAGCAGCGGATGATAAAAAATTGAAAAGAAAAAAATAAATAACGAAATCTATCTCTATGTACAGACCATTGAATCCCCAATTGTAATCTTTATCTCTGCGAGGAAGTAATCATTTAATTAAATGATGTGTGGACAGTGTCCCATTGAATCAAAATAAATTATCCCTTCTACTAGCAAACACCCATGAAACATGAAGTAATTGTGAATTTTCACTTCTCTTTGTATTTTGATTCTTTCGAAAGAAAAATTTGTAAAAAAAATAAAAAAAAAAATAAACAATGTAAAATAATTTTCCATTATTTTTTAATAACTCTTAAAAAAATATCGACAGTTGGTTTACAGAATATTAATCGTTACATTTCTAATGCATGTATGATAGTTTTGACACTTAATTAAAAACATTACATACAAACACTCGTTAAATATTCAAGTTTATGAGCTTACAAAATTAGTTCTCATTAACTCATATTGAAGAAATGGAATAACACAATTGTTAAATAATGTTTGATGAATAAAAAAGTATGAATGTTTTTGCGGGTAGCCACTTAATTAATCGCTCCTGCAACTTCGAGCTCACTGGCAGGCGTGTCTGGCTCTTCGTCGTTATAAATATTTTCAGCCATCTGCCAAACTTGCATTATGTTATCTTCAGACACAGAACAAATGACCCAAGGCTCGTTTGGATTCCAGGAAAAGTCACTGATCTTAGCAGTATGTCCTCCATGGATGAACTATAATACATATAAATAACAATGAAGTATTTATAGCCAACTTTAACCCTTAGACAATAAAATAACGGTGTATGAACAAAAATTAGGAAACACAACCAAATACTAACCAAAAGTTCAGGAGGTCCATCTTCTGCATCTTCACTAGACTGTTCTTCTCCAATTTTACTAAGGTCCCAGACATGTAATCTTCTATCTGTGCCACTGCTAGCAAGAATCGTTTCATTATGAGGTGACCATTGGACTTGGAAGATCTCATCCTTGTGAGATTCAAATGAATGTAATTTCAATTTCAAATTTCGCAAATCCCACAGAGCTACAGTCTTATCAGCGCTTCCAGTTGCTAAGATAAATTCGGAATATGGATTAAAACTTAGACAATTCACTTCTGCTGTATGAGCATCAACCGTGTGACTCGGTTTGCTTGTGTTGTTACATCTGTAAGTAAATATTATACAAGTTAATCATACATTATTTATAAACTTATATTCAAAATAAATTTTATGGCCCAACTAATGCAAAACTATTTTTTACCTCGTGTCCCAGATCATCAATTTTTGATCATCAGCCACAGAGCCAAACAGGGATTCATGAAGTAAGTGCCAGGCAACATCTTCAACAACAGCCGTGTGGCCTGTAAATATAGTCTTGGCATCAATTACTCTGTTTTCCTTTGGTGTGGCGTTTATGTCCCACAAGCAAATCGTGTGGTCGTCCGAAGCGCTCAGCAAGTATCCATTAAGATTTGGATTCCAAGAGAGTCCATAGCCTTCCTTTTGATGACCGCGTAACCTTTAGGAAAACCAATAATTCAATTAATTTGTTGTAATTTTTAATATCAATATCAATAACAATAGATGTTATACCGTAAGTCTGGATGACATTCTCCATTGGGATCTGGCTTACTTGGGTGCTTAGTATAGTCAAAAACTAGAACGTCGCTGGATGGTGTCTTGGTTGCAATGACACAAGGATTTTGAGGCATATATCTGGCTCTATTGACTTCTCCTTCATGATTGATTTTAATTTCGATTTCAATTTTACCACTCACTGATCCAAATCCTCCAAACTCTCCCTTCTCATTATCATAGTGTGAAGCATCAAAAATCGCATCTTCATTCGGTAACTGTACACTGGCAATTAATAGATGATTTTGCTCATCGGATGTATGCGTGCCAAGGATAAGTCGGTGTACTGTGTAATCCTTGCCTTCTGGCTTGGTTACATCCGGCAACCACTGAGCTGTTAATGAAGGCCATTCCAAGGCATGGGTCATAACAAGGTCATACAAGAAGGGAGTATTCTTCTTCCAAATCTTGTACTCCTCATTTATGACGCGTTCCTCAACAGCGTCATCAAAGGTTTCTGTGTAAAATTCAATCAATAATTAAGCTAAGATATTTCTGTAAGTCTAACACCTGCATTTACAAGTAAAAAATTGTTTCATGTTTCTTATAAGTACATAATTTTGTTGAAAATGACAACTAAATACAAGGTTTGAATTTTAGGCATATTAAGGTACCTAGCACATATTTTGATTTAGAAACTGGAGCAAAAATTAACGATTAACGATTGGATTCAAAAAGATACTGTAATCGCAAATAACAATTGAGTAATTTGCACCTGCAAAGGTGACAAAGGTAAATAATGGGCTTCTTGGTGTTAGTTTGCTCACTGTTTTTGTACAAAAACCTTTCGTGAAAAAAAGTGAAGGAAATTCTCGTAGTTAACCAATTATTCTGTAATTGAAATCAATACAAAGTCAGTAAGTGAAGCAACAGTTTTTTTAGTCCCTAAAACCGCGGGAAAACATGCTTGCAATTGCTTAACATCCCCGGCGACCCTCCGGTACGATAAGTACATGTGTATGTGTGTGTGTGTGTGTGTCAGATGCCAATGCCGACTCTCAATCTTCTAACCTTGTAGATCTCCCGCGTAGTCTTGTACCTTGGCGTGAAATTAAATGTTAGTTAACCGTAAAACATTATTACTTACCACTGTCCCTGTCACCCATTGCGGATGCTCAGCCTTTTCTTTGGTAGGAGACAGTTATTCAACGAAGATGAACAAATGGACCTGACGTCCTGACGACCTGGTGCGAGCCCGCGCTTACAACCACTTTCTTGGCCAGCGCCGCCAAGTTTCGAGTTTCGAGCTTCAGGCAGTTCAGGCTAATCAGGCTGAATAACTCAGAACCCGCGCCATCTAGCGGGTGACTGTTAGTAGAGTGTGGAGGAGACGGTACTGCAGATCCCATTAAGTCAGGACCCTAACCTACCGATTGTGAGTGTGTAAGAGACTCCATGACCCATCTAGTCTAGTAACATATATATGTTGACATATGTATACTGGACAGGAGACAGTGGGAGTGGGGTAAGAGAGAGGGTGTAATGTGTATTGCAAACATAAGAGTATCTTTACTCACCCAGGTGACGGTGACAGTCCGAGCGATGACAAATGCTCCGGAAAAAGATTAAAAACACAATGGGCCTGATGTTAAAAAACGATCACGAGATTGTTGCTGCTGCTGCTACTGTTCAAGAATTGTCGTGCTATCTGGGAACGCACGTATCTCTTGCTAATTACTTACCCGTTTCAACTTCGTAGTTTTTGAGTTTATAGTCTGTCTAGTTTTATACACCAAAGAGTTTTAAATAGATTTCGTGCTCCAGCCATGAGTACCGAGGATGATGTTTGCTGGTATCACGAGAATCTATCAAGAGAGGATGCTGAAAACTTGCTGGTCAAAGGTTTGTGTTCATTGTATGTTTTGTCTCTGGGATGCTAGTAGTTAAACACTGCACTGCATCTTTCAGATCATCTCGAGGATGGGACTTTTCTTGTGAGGGAAAGCAGCTCGTCGTTGGGAGATTATGTCCTTTCAGCATTGTACAATGGTGGAGTGGTACATTACCAGATTAGAAAGCACGGAGAGGACGCTTTTTTCTCTATAGGTAGTAATTTACTTTTTTTTGTAACAAATCAATTTAATGCAGTTTTGTTGACTGTAAATAGAGTTGTAAAAGTTCAAACATGCTTATCTGCATACTTATTACGTTCCAGATGATGAAACAACCATACACGGTCTAGACACGCTTATTGAGTATTATCAGGAAGAAAATCATGGGCTCGTGACAGTATTAAAAACACCTGTTAAAGGTAATCCACCACCACATGATACACGAAGACATGGACGCATGAATCTTTTACACAGGGCCACTATACAGGTATTTGTTTTTTTGTTTTTAATGAATCGATTAGTGGTTTCCTTGTTACCTAAGCAAACCCGCCGTTTTAGAAAAACTACACAATTGTATCAGAGCTTCTCAAGTGCGGCTACAGAAGCTTAGATGCTAAGAATCAGCTTGGCCAAACAGCAGTTCACTTAGCGGCCAAAGATGGAGCAGATGAAATATTAACCAAGCTCATTCAGAGCAATGCCAGTGTCAACTGCAGAGATACAGCTGGCTACACTCCTCTGCATGTGAGTGTGTTGAAATCATATTTTCCCAAAAACTCTTTTTATTATATT